ATCTTTACATCTACAAATCTTACTGACAACTGTGTTAAAAGCCCAAAAGCTAAGGTTTCCTGGCAGCCTATATTAATTTATTTCAAACTAATACTGACAGCAAAGCACTGCGGCTCTCTCAAGACGTGCATTCTTTTGTGATTTATCTGTTTGCTGCATTCACTTGTGCAACTGAACCTGTGTGTGAGAGAGAGTTTTGTATTGCATACAGTTCTGGTCACCACACCACAAAAAAGACAGTGGAACTGGAAAAGGTGCAGAAGAGAGAGACTAAAATGATTACCAGGCTGGGGCACCTCCCTCATGAGGAAAGGCTACAGCATTTGGGGCTCTTTAGTCTAGAGAAAGGTTGCCTGAGGGGGGACATGATTGAGACCTATACAATTATGCAGGGGATGGATAAAGTGTATTGAAGGAAGCTTTTTCCCCTCTCATGCAATACCAGAACCAGGGGACATCCACTCCAATTGAGTGTTGGGAGAATGAGAACAGACAAAAGAAAATATTTATTTACCCAGTGAGCTGTTAGCCTGTGGAATTCCTTACCATAGGATGTGGTGATGGCATCTGGCCTAGATGCCTTTAAAAGGGGATTGGACAGATTTCTGGAGAAAAGGTTACAATCCATGATGAGGATGTATATTCTCCAGGTTCAAAAGGAAGTTACCTCAAAATGCCAGATGCAGGGGAGGGGTATCATGAGACAGGTATCTAGTTGTCTCATGTGCTCCCAGAGGCATCTGGTGGGGCCTCTGTGAGATACAGGAAGCTGGACTAGATGGGCCCTTGGCCTGATCCAGCAGGGCTCTTCTTATGTACTTATCTATAGTGTCCATCAGTACCAGTCAACCCAAGGCTTCTGAAATAAATTTAAAAAATCTGGAAAATTGCTTTTATTGCCAATCAAATATTTTCTATTAATTTTCTGTATGCATAGGTAATTTAGTCATGAAGAACTTCTCACACAGGAAAGTGCTTTATATCATCAGATGATTGTGTCATATAGTCCAGGGTTATACATACTGATATTCCTACCAAACCCCTTTTCAGTGGCAGCTGTCCCTTCACCATGTACTTTGTGACCAGAGGTAGTAATGAAGTAACAGCTGTAGTCCCTCCTTTTTTTTTTTTTTTAACATAAGTCAGACGTGTGTTCCTGCTGGGAAAGTAGAAGAGGCCAAATCCCAAGTAGTGAGGTCTACGGGCTCTTTTGGGTTCCTTTCAGTGGAAGCACTCAAGTGCATGAGCTATAAGTATTAGAAGATGTGACTGGAGAAGGCCTTTGCCAGTTTCTCCTCCTTGTGTCTGGATTCTAAAGCAAGGTGAAAAGTGAGATAAGACTTCCCCAGAAACCCATTGGGCATTATTTAATTAATTCATCAGTGGGAGAAGGAGGGGGAAACTCAATCCCCTTGTATTTTTCCAGGTACTCAAAAGGATCCTCAAGAAGGTGTGCCTAGGGGAGGAAAGGAAACCAAATTCCCATTGTACAAGCAGAACAGTGTGCAGCGCTGGGTTTGGTCCTCTGACTACACCTGTTTTCCTGTAAACTAGGTTATGGAAGGCTTTTGGCCTGAAAATCTGTGGCTCTATGTGAGAATGCCTGCTTTAGCACATATTTAGAATTGGGCTGCAAGAAGTATAGTTGCCATTTCCCTCACACTGGATCCAGTGTAAACAGTTTGATCTGGTTTGGGAGGAAAGTAACCTAAAGCAAAACTTGAATATTTTTACTGTCCCTGAGAACCTTCCATTAGCTCATGCTTTCCAAGACTCCCTGATCAGTTACTCTCCAGTGTAAATAGAGAGTAATGCTTGTTATTGACTGTTGTTATTGCCCATGGAAATGCTTGTTATTGACCGTTGGCCACTTGGTGCTCATGATGTTTGTGCAACCTTGTTCCATACCACAAAAATAAAAGCATAAAGTATGGATCAGAAAAGTGTGGCCCTTCAGAGATTGTTGTCCTTCGTCTTTCAGCTGCACTCACAATTCATTACGTTGGCTAGGGCTGATGAGAATGTCAGTCCGACAACACTTGGAAGAGCTAGATATTCTACATACCTGACATAAAAGTTTTCAGCTAAGGCAGCGGACCAACCTTTTTGGGACTGCGGACCAACTGACCCTCTGAGGAAGGTGGGGCACACACACCCGGTGTGCACACTCTCTCGGGCACATGCACGCGCAGTCTCAGGCACCTGCGCAAAGCGATGGGGAAGCACATGAATGTATGACAGTGCCGTGTGAGTGCTCCCCCACCCCTTTGCACAAGAGCGCACGCACGTGCATGCCCACCTCTTCGCATGGGCGCATGTGTGAAGGGATGGGGGAGCACTCATGCCGGCGCTGGCACACACGTGCATGCACAAAGCAGCTCTTGGGAGGGGAGTGCGTGCAGGGGGGCGGGAGGTCTATCTCCTTAACCTGGTCCAGCTCAGGCCACAGACCAGCACCGGGCTATGGACCAGGTGTTGACGACCTCTGAGCTAAGGGACATCTGCTGTTCCCATAGTACTGTATAAGTGTTCCAGTCTGAGTACTGGAAAATGTGGTAACCCTTCCATGGGGGCTTGAATTTACATTTGTGAACTAATCATTAAATGGCAAGCAAAAATAAGTGGTGTGTGTGTGTAGGATTGAGCCAAAGCAAATTTTTATAAGTACTGCTTAGTATCTTCTTTTTGATTAGTGTGTGTATTTTATGGCTGTTTTGTGAGAGCCAAAACTGAAATACACATTTTAACAATACAATTTTTATGTTCAGATTTCAGGTATAAGAACTACTAGAGGCCCATTTAAGTGTGCGTGTGTTTTGTTTGTTTGTTTTTTGTGATTTAGCCACAGACATGCTGGTCAGATGTTCAGGCAAGAATAGAACAGGGTCTGTTAGAACATGGGAGAGAGAGAACTCAAATGCAATGGAAGTTGCTGAAATATTTGTGTTCCACTAATTTCATCAGAGTTGCCCATTGCTTACGTCGTGTTCTTTTAGTCTGTAAGAAAACAGCAACAACAGCAAAATCAATCATTCTAATTGTCCAGCCTAGAGAAACATACAGACCAGTTGTGCAAATAGAAAACTATGTGGAAGGGGGAAAAGGTTTTACTGAAAATCATGCACATTTAAAAGAACATCTATTCATCATAGGAAAGTACCCATGTAGTTGTCTTCTTTTGAACCAAAATTACGAAATCCATTTGTACTTGGCTTCCATTCAGATATTTTTCTTCCAGCTTTCCCTTTACACTGGCTCTTCCTACATGCCTTACATTATTTTTATACATTCAGTTCCCACGACAAGGCAGCAATCCACGAAGGAGACAAAAGCTGTTTTGTTTGTTGATATAGAGTTTGGCTCATTGAACATGATGCAGAATTTTTAATGGTACAAGACCTTTTTGTTTTCACAGCATTAGATCATGCTTCTGTTATACTGGTGGGATCATATATTATACCAGCCCAAGATTTGATGTTACACAAATAAAGTATATTCTGTGCTTTGACACCCACTTCGTGCTTGCTTTCCCCTCTTAGGTGCTGCTTATTTAATTTCTTCCTTACTTGTGGCAAATTGTTGTTTACTGACACATTTGAGCTAGTACGTTGTGCTCTGTATACACCCTGGAAACCAGAAGTCTTGATTCAGACATGGTGTAAGCATTTTACCATGGGATGGGCAAATTTGATGAGTCTACAGGCCAGTTTTCTCCAGGCCCTCCACAGATCACCAAAAGTTAAAAACAAAAGTGGGAGTGACCAGAAATTCACTTCCAGTTTTGAAAGCTGGAAGTGAATTTCTGTGGGGCCTTTCTAATGTTAATCACTGTGGGAGGACCCCGGGAAACTCCGGGAAGTGACCGTTCACCTTTTTTGACTGAGGCAGCCCATTTCTTTTTATTTATTCATTCATTCATTTATTCGATTTTTACCCTGCCCCTCTAGACAACGTCTACTCTCTCGGGCACATGCACGCGCACTCTCAGGCGCCTGGAGGGGTTGGGGAAATCTGATGAGGCCGAAGGGCCTAAAAGCTAACCTGTGAGCCACATAGAGTGGCACTTTGGCTATATATGGTTTACAGAAGCCTAGCAAATAAATTAAAAATAAGCAGAATGGTAAGTGGAGGGAGGGGGCCATGCAAGCACAGGATTTACTCCAGCCCTCTGTTTCTCTTACCATTGCTCTGGATATGGGTGAGGCACCAAAGGCCCTCCTCCAATACAAAAAGGCACATCTGCTCTTGTGGTGCTGCTTTTAGTATTTATCTAGCATATTTGACTGTTGAAAAAATATTATATATACATTTGCTTAGTAGTCAACTTCAAAGTGGTGGGACGTGGTGGCGCTGTGGACTAAACCGCAGAAGCCTGTGCTGCAGGGTCAGAAGACCAGCAGTCGTAAGATCGAATCGATGTGACGGAGTGAGCGCCTGTCGCTTGTCCCAGCTCCCGCCAATCTAGCGGTTTGAAAGCATGCACATGCAAGTAGATCAATAGGGACCACCTTGGTGGGAAGGGAATACGGGTCTAAGTCGCACTGGCCATGTGACCACGGAAGATTGTCTTTGGACAAAACGCTGGCTCTATGGCTTGGAAACGGGGATGAGCACCGCCCCCTAGAGTCGAACACGACTGGACAAAAATTGTCAAGGGGAACCTTTACCTTTACCAACTTCAAAGTAGGTTAGTATTATTATACATATGTTGAGGACAGAAGTTTTAATATAATGGCAACAAAATTTAAGCAAGTGTTCTAGAGGTGAAAACTAGCCTTAAACTGATGAACAAAGGAACAAAAACTGTAGAACATTAATGAGACTAAGTTGTATTATATTAAAGCAACCATAATCTTCTAGAATAATTAAGTCCTATATAACAGTATTTGTCTTCTTCTATTAATTAACTATCACAAGCCAGTAACAGACAAAAACATGGAGATAACTTGCAATGGAACTTTTTCTGTGGTAAATCTTGCTTTTGCATTATTCCCTTGCAGAGGACTATGCCCAGCTATGCAACATTCCTGGATCTCGGAGGCCATATGGACAAGATGCATTGGTTGACTTTGAGCAGGAACAGTACACGCCTGAAACTGACCCATATTTTGTGGAAGACCGTAAGTAATCTTTATTCCTTAATATTGAAAATTAATAAGTTGGGTTTCTTCCATATATTCAACACTATCCACCTCTTTATTTTCAAAGGTGTGTTATATTTGCTGCACTTGGGACATTTGTTTTGACAGATTTCCTGATGCTGGAGCCAGAAGTTGTATATGAACTCAGTTGGACTTCAGAATATTATATTAATTCTGAAAGACATGGCTATAAATATAGATAACACAGCAAGTTTACTTCTGAAAAATCAAATGAATAGCCAGTTTTCTTCCTCCAATTTATTATTATTTAATATTCATTGGATTAATATACCTCTTTTCCCCTCTCCAATGGGACTTTTGGCAGATAACACCAAGGTGAATGAGCAAATACAGCTTAAAAACATTACATAGATGAATGTTTAACAGGCCATTAAGTATGGACTGGAGTATAAGATCCACTAAAAGAGCATTCCCAACAGTACTATTCAGATATATTGGACTACGATTGCCAGGGTGCTTTAAGGAAACATTTTAAAAAAATCAACCAGGAGTCAGCAAGGTATTTGTCTTAATTCAAATTTTATACATTAAGATACAGTGGTGCCTTGCATAGCGACGATAATCCGTGCAGCAAAAATTGCTGCAAAGCAATTTTGTCGCTATGCGATATTAAAAAGCCCATAGGAATGCATTGAAGCCCCTTCAATGCGTTCCTATGGGCTTCAGACTCACCTTTAAGCGAAAATCCTCCATACGGCGGCCATTTTCGCTGCCCGGTAAGCGAGGAATCCATCCCGGAAAACAGCGGGCGGCCATTTTTTTTTACCCGGCGGCCATTTTGGAACTGCCGATCAGCTGTTAAAAACCATCGCTTTGTGATGATCGGGAAGCAAAACAAGGTACCGATCATCACAAAGTGATTTTTTCCCATTGGGAACATCGCAAAGCGATCGCAAAAGCGATTGCAAGAAGTTAATCGCTATGCGATTTCATTGTTACACGGGGCGCCCACTAAGCGAGGCACCACTGTAATTTGGTCTAGTAAGGAGCTATAAAACAACAGAAAAACCTTACAAAGCCTTTTCAGAGGGTCTCCAGTGTGGCTCATGATACCCTCTACCACACTCGCGACAAAAATTAGGAACTATATTCAAGCTTACAGAGGTGGTACCTTAAAAGAGCAAAGGGCTGACTTTGTAGAGGCTGATACTGCAGATCTAAGCACCAGCCTATTTCTTCTTTGAAATTAGCAATGAAATCATTTCTGAGTATAGAGAGTAGAGGCAAGTGCAGCGGCATGGTCTAGATGAGAAGGCTGTTGTGTTGGTTTTGCTACATTTTCATCTGGTGAAATAAGGCACAGAATGGGTGGTGGCTTATGACTATTAGGAATGAGAGGCAAACAGTAACAAAAGGAAAGAAATAGAAGTCATATGGGGGACTTAGCGGGTAGCTGGGTAGCTACAACTGCCAAACCAGGAACTTCCCTTCCCTTGAGATTTTAGAGCCAAACCAAGACCAGGGGGTGGGGCATTGGATAACGGTAGCAAAATAGTAAGGGTATATGTGTTTGTGCATAAGGAAGTGAGGCAAACATGCACATATTCTGTGCTATACATGTCTCCTAGACCAGTGGTTCTTAACCTTTGTTACTCGGATGCTTTTGAACTGCAACTCCCAGAAACCCCAGGCAGGACAGCTGGTGGTGAAGGCTTCTGGGAGTTGCAGTCCAAAACTCCTGAGTAACCCAAGGTTAAGAACCAGTGTCCTAGACAACACAATATCCTAAATAAATGTGTGTTCAACACATGTATGGGTAGCGTTGTGCTGAGCCAAAGATCCTTGGCACCTTTTCCAAGAGAGTAGGAGACTTGTGCCCAATCGTTAAAGCAAACAGCACTCAATGCAAACAGATTTTCTTCTCTTTTTTGAGATTTGTGTCCTCACCTGGAAATGTGTGGAAACATAACAGTCCCTTGAGGCTTCAGCCAGCACCCCCAAAGCTGCTATCCTTATTTGGGAACAGAAGTGGCATTCATGGCAAGATCTTGGAAGGCAGTATATGGAAAATGAGAACATGCTAGCATCAAATAGTGAGATGTACATTTAAAAGTCGACCCTAAGTTTTGCCTCTCCACCTGAAAACTGACAATTTTCGGTGATACTTTTTTTTCCTATGTGTTCCCTGAATATGGGCTACATGAGAAGTTTGGCTCTCTAGCCTTTCGAGTTTAATGCCCTAGTGTAGCATGTTGACTCACTGAGTTGATTTAAAGTCTGGGTTTATCTTGACGTTCCTGGCCCAAGGAACACTGCCCTTACTGTTACACCTGGTACAATGCTGGATGATGTAAAAAAGTGCAAGAAAGTGGTTCTCTCTCAAAGTGTAGTCTGTAGGCTTGGAGTTCTTCATTCAGTGCACAACTAATGGTCATGAGTTATCTTTTGAAAATTTAAGGGTTAGATCAGTCTCTAGGACCTTTTTCTTTTTTCTTCTCTTTTCTTTTTGGCAGCTCTCCAACTCTGGTGCCTGCACCCACCAGCTTAAAAAAATTCCTTAAAATGTTTTCTTGTGCCCTCCAGGGGCATGGGGAAAATTGTACTATGGTTTGAAGAGCCCACAATACACATGGCTCACTCACGCTCCCTCATCTAAGCAATATTTTTAAAAATAAAGGAAATATGGCTACTAAAAGGCATGTGTGTGCTTTTTCAGCTGACAGAAACCCACTTGCTGGAATCTTCTTGGTGTTTGCTTTGGAAGACTTTGAAGTCTGAAAAACTTGCTACAACTAATTGACAATATGCCAAGTCACTTATGTGCAGTTGGATGTAGCCCAGCTACATGACTGAGATATACCTTAGCACTTTATTAATTAGCCGCAGTTAGCCCTGGCAAATTACGTGAATCTTATGGAAACACTAATAGAATGCTAGCCACTGTTTCAGTTTACAGTACATAATAACTGTATTTTAAATGAATGAATGCAAACTGGCCTTTTTGGTCATGCCTCTCCCCTTTAGCCCAGCTACTTGAGTGGTCCTTGAGTTGCTGGCAGATCTAAAAAATGGCCCTCAACTCTGATGAGATCGTCTTGGTTTAGATAAATGCACATAGAATAGGTCCCGCTGGATTGCAAGCAGCTCTTTTTTCAAAGAAAGAATTCCCCTAACTTTCATGAGACATCTGACTGGTCCTTGCTGAAGACAGGATGCTGTCATATCAATGATTCAAGAGCTGTGCCTCATACTACTGCTTTGTGTACTTAGGCAGTAACAAGGCAAACAGAAGGAGTATGTATTTTTTACCACAACCCAATGGCTGGTGGCATTTGATGTGTACATTTTAAAATAAAATGTAACTACTTTTAAGAAATGGGAAGTAATATTATTTTTACACTTACACAACTCTAAATATGACAGTAACAGACTGCTTTGAAGACTTAGAACTTTAATAGTAACTGTTATGGCATTTTCACCTGGCCTTTCAGATAGTAAGTTATGGACTAATACATGGCTAGATATAAAGTAAGTTGAATCTTATGAAATGAATGGGGGAAGGCTAGGGGCATGTTTGCCCCACTGCAGCCTACTTAGAAAAGTCAGTTTTTCTACCCGGTCAGGACTTTCTGAGACCCTTCCCCTAATATATATATATAATACTGAGCCTGTTTAGGGAAGGCACTGGCGTGAGTAGGAGAAAGAATATTGCCTGCTTCCCTACCCTCCCACGTTTCTGAGCATGAAAACACCCTGTTTGTTATCTGAGCTTTGAGGGCCTTTGTTGCTTATCTGTGCATGGCTTGTTCGACATTTAGTGCTCTGAAGCATCTGAACTCCACAGGCCTTTAGTCACGTTGTGTAGTTTCTTCCCTACATGGCTCAATGCAAGAAGAACAGAGAAATAATTGACAGATGAGATTGCATCCAAATACAGTGGTGCCTCACTTAACGGGCACCCCGTTTAATGACGAATCCGCATAGCGATGAATTTTTTGCGATCGCTTTTGCAATCGCATTGCGATGTTTTAAAGAGGAAAAATCGCTTTGCGATGATCAGTACCCTGTTTCGCATACCGATCATCACATAGCGATGATTTTCCAACAGCTAATCGGTACAAAATGGCCGCCCACTGTGTTTTCGCCCGGATTCCTTGCTTACCGGGCAGCGAAAATGGCCGCCATATGGAGGATTTTCGCTTAAAGGTGAGTTTTAAGCCCATAGGAACACATTGAAGGGGTTTCAATACATTCCTATGGGCTTTTTAAAACCGTATAGTGACTAAATTATTGTTGCTATGCGGGGCACCACTGTATTTTATAGGAGATAGTGGTAGCCAGCCTGTAAAACCTTGGGCACGCAATACAGTCCCAGAGTGCTCCCAGAAGAAGGTAGTGGTAATCCACCTCTGATTTCTTGATACCCAGAAAACTCTGGAAAGAGTTGCCATAAGTCAGAATTGATTTGATGGCACATGATTATTATCATAGCAGTGGCAAGTATTTTGCATCATTCTTATTTCCTCTCCCTTTTGTTACCTCTGCCAAATTCATTAAGAAGGGAAATGTCAGCATGTATTGTACAGTGTCAAGGAAATCATTTTGAAGAAATAGTGTTTGTACCCTACAAACCTTCAGTCCCATGTCTGAAATAAGCTATGATTCCAACTGTGTTTCACTTATCACCTCCCTGTTTTGTTAGGTCTTTTTCCTTTTACATTTGGTTAGCATGTCATATTACAGAAAAAGAAATAAAAATGAATAACTTTAAGCAAGACAAGCGAGTAGTAAAATACTTCATATATGTCAGTCCCTTCAGCAAAAGCCAACCCTAGTGATTTCATCTCTGCTGAATGCTGGACAAACTCAGTTGACTTATACTACTTTGTATAAGGGCCAAGTATTTCAGTGTCATATGATTTTAATTAAACAGAGCAGCTTTCTGGGCTGAAGTACAGCTAAATGCTAACATTGCTAAAAGTTTGCGAAACATGCTGTAAACCATGGTAAGAAATGATGGTGTAATCACGGGCAGAAAATCTGTTCCAGAGAAAGTGTATATTACCTGCTGGGTATCCCAAGACAGTCTAGCTGTATGCTTTCCTTCCAATTTTGCCTTCCTTTTTGGAGGGCCATACAACTTGATGAATGAGTAAATGTTTCGAATTCACACAATTCCAGGTTCTGTTGCTGACAGCTATATATCAAAGTGTCTTGGGTAACAGTGGTGGGTTGGGGAAAGACTCCTGTCTGAAACCCAGGGAGACAGGTCCCAACTGGAGTACATAGTTCTGGTATAGATAAACCCATGGCTAGTTCTAGAGGGACGTGGTGGTGCTGTGGGCTAAACCGCAGAAGCCTCTGTGCTGCAAAGTCAGAAAACCAGCAGTCGTAAGATCCATCCCACGCGACGGAGTGAGCTCCTGTCGCTTTGTCCCAGCTCCTCGACAACCTAGCAGTTCGAAAGCATGCAAATGCGAGTAGATAAATAGGTACCACCTCGGTGGGAAGGTAAAACGCTGTTCCCTAGTCACGCTGGCCACGTGGCAATGGAAACTGTCTTTGGACAAGCACTGGCTCTACGGCTTGAAAACGGGATGAGCAGCACCCCCTAGAGTCAGACACGACTGGACTAAAAATGTCAAGGGGAACCTTTACCTTTTTACCTATGGCTAGTTATATATAAGGCAGGGAGGGCGATGGTGATTCTCCATATCAGAAGAGGTTGGTCCAGTAGGGCAGATTGGGGCCTGCACTGCCTCAGGCTTTGGTTGCCCCAAGCCTGCTCATTTCTGCCTGCCTCTTTACCATGGTAAGAGTTTCATGATTCTGCCTGTGTTTCTACTGAACTCTTAACCACAGTTTAGGTTTGTGAGTGTACATTTGAGAGAAAGGAGCTTGCAGGACAAAAGAAAATGAGATAATGAATGTGAATCAATAAGCCAGCTCTGAAAGCCATCACATAAGGAAAAAAAACAGGAGCAGTTGTTAGGAATGTTTCTAATTTGGGGGTAAAGTGTAGTTTTTCCAGTTCCACCAGTCATCCAGATGGTGTTGGATTGTAACTTCTAGCACCATTCACGATTGACTGTGCTGCCTAGGGTTGACTGTTACCTGAATGGACTGACAGGAGTTGTGGTTAAAACACCAGACCCTTAGGAAGAAAGGTCACAAATTCCATTTTACTTCCTCTGACCTCTTTTTTTGCGAAAACATGCCTTTGCTGGAGTGTCTGGTATCCTTGTGGCAGTGCATACATTCCATCACTGCCCTATAAAACTCATTTTCCCAGTTCCAGGTAGAGTGCAAGCTTTTCTCATTACAGTTTTCCAGTAGAATTTAGTGTTCTCTGGCCTTTTTTTCCAGAGCTTAGCTGAACATGAGTCTTAAAAATCCATATTTCTATTTTTATAAACATACATATTGCTTACTGTCAGAGCATGGGGAAGTTATTTCTTAGACTACAACTTCCAGAATCCCCCAACTAGTATGGTCACTGGCTGGGACAGGCTAGAAATTGTAGTTTACAGAAGTCACATTTCAAAGCTCTGCTTAGTATGAAAGTAATCACATGCATGAAGGCATGCAGCTTATTTGATACTCTTCCGTGTTTCAGGCCAAAAAGAACTGGTTTCCTCAGCCCACCCCCTTTCCTTCATGTGTTGCTTTCAAAACTGACCTTGCTTTCTTCAAGCAGATTGCCAGACTCCTTAGATAATAGTTGCCCAGCCCTACTCTGTGAAGTGTTAATAACTGGTGGTCATAAGGAGGATTTTAAGTGGATTGTTGTGCTCCGTTGTTTTAAATGTGTTTGGTATTGATTTTATTACTGTAATACTTGTTTAATTCTTTTTTAATATTTGTATACCTACTGTTTTTAGCTTTTTAAATATTGCCTTTTTAATCATGTAAGCTGCCTTGGGTTCTTTTTAAGGAGAAAGGTGGGATAAAATATTTTAGATAAATAAATAATACATTAAACATTTCAGCGTGCTTTGTATAAATTTGGATGCTTCTCATTTTAGAAGGGATATTTAAGAGCACATAAAGTTTTCAGCACAAGCTTTTTGACATTTACAATTGAATTGAAAATCAGATTATTTTCTACATATTATACCAGCACAGATAGTTACAGCATTAAATTAATACAGTTGATGGCGAAAAATGTATCTCTGTACTATAGCTTGATGCTGTTCGTTACATCAGAAAGAAACATGATGGTACTCAAGCATATGTTGAAGAATTAGTACTCTCTATCATACATTATTAATCCTACAGATACTGTAGGATGGAAACGCCTTTGTATGTACTACACTAATCAGTTGTAGAATGGATTTATGTGCAATACAAAGCTGTTACTGAGGACTGCCCATACCCCAGAACTTAATACACTGGTGTCTTCAGATGCTCAGAAATCATTTGTATAACCACAGGGAAAGAATGCACTCATGTAAACAGTCTGTCTCTGGGTAGCAAAATACGATCACAGTACTGTATTCCCTTAATATTTGCTCAGTCCAGTAATGTACTATTGTTCATTGAACTGGTCAAATGTTCGTTGGCTGTGCTTGACTGCCATCTGCAGCTCTGCTCAGTTATTGTGACTCAAAATAATACCTGTTGGTATTCAATATTTACAGTATATCCTACCTTTCCACCAATGATATCAAGGTAGCATACATTCCTGTCCCCTTAACCCCACTCCATTTTATCCCCAAACCAATTTCTGAGGATGGTTAAGCTGAAAGATAGCCACTGGCCAAGGTCACCAAATTGTATAATGTGTTGGGGTAATGGGAACCCAGTCTAACAGATCCCAGTCTAATGCCCTAACCATTAAACCCCACTTACTCTTACATAAATTAGATAGTATACAGTGGTGCCTCGCTAGACAGTTACCCCGCATGACAGTTTTTTCGCTAGACATTGGCTTTTTGCAATCGTTATAGCGATTCGCAAAACAGTGATTCCTATGGGGGAATTTCGATGGACAATGTTTGGTCCCTTCTTCGCAAACCAATTTTCACTAGACGATGATTTTGACAGCTCCCTCCGTGCTCGCAAACAGGTGCTTTCGGGACCTAAGCTTCACAAGACAGTGATTTAAACAGATGATTGGCGGTTCGCAAAGCGGCTTTCCTATGGCCGATCTTCGCTAGACAACACTGATTCTTCCCCATTGGAACGTATTAAACAGGTTTCAATGGATTCCAATGGGGAAATTTCGCTAAACAGCGATTTCAGTGGGACGGATTATCATCGTCTAGCAAGGCACCACTATAGTTGGAACTATATTATGTAAAGGAAATGTGGTATGCCTTAAAGGGATCAGTTGCTTTTAAGTTGAATTGTAGCCTGGCATATTCAGAATTCTTCAAGATAATTTCTTAACATTCTAGCACTTTAAATATTACAGTCTGTCAACATATCAAAAAGACAACATCAGAGCTTGTGATTTAGTGCTGCTGCAAAAATCAGGTTGTACAGCTCATAGTAATCACAGCAGGTTATTAGTGCGGCTGTAAGATAATGAAAGTTTTTAAATAAACAAACATGTATTCTCGAAGGCTTTCACGACTAGGATCTGATGGTTGTTGTAGGTTTTCCAGCTGTTTGGCCATGTTCCTAAATACATACGTACGTACATACATACATTACATATGTACATAAATTCAATTGTTTCAATGTATCCCCCACCTGCCCCACCCCCAGGATTCCTAAACAGCTTTGAGGAGTTGCAAGCAGAAGAATGTGGCATTCTGAATGGATGTGAAAATGGACGCTGCGTAAGGGTGCAAGAAGGATATACCTGTGACTGTTTTGATGGCTACCATTTGGACATGGCCAAGATGACATGTGTTGGTAAGCATAGGTTCCAGTATGTCATATCCAGGTCTAGCCTGATAAATGTAGAAGATGTGTTCTGATGGGAGGGAGGGTTTGAACCACAAGCTCCCCTGTGCAGTCATCCTGCATACACCTAACTAGAAGGAATGGGAGCTGGGCAAGAACTTCATTGTGATGCAATCCCCAAATAACTGATACAGGATATTCTTGTTATTTGCATAGTGACAGGGGTTAGTGAGGAAATCATAAGAGATTTTTTTTTCTCTTGTTTTTTAACAATAGGTGTTGACTGAGCTAAAGGCCAAATTTGTGCCTCCCGAATACCCTGCAGCCCACATAAAGCCCAGAAATGCCCAGTATTGGTGGGCAAGGTCAAATAAAAAGTACAAGTCATTTGGCATCCGTTTGTAGTGTCAGTTCTTGGGGACCAGAGGAAGATGCAGGAGGGCGGTGACACCCATGCTTAAAACACTGTTTGTTATCGTTCCCTGGCTTGAGAGTGGATTTCATGGGAGATGGGATTTGCAAAACAGCTTTGAGGGCCACATTTTGTCTCTCCTCCCTCCCCATTTAACAGCATTGAAGACAGCAAGAGTTCTGATTTTGTTTGCTTTTTTCTTTCCAGATGTGAATGAATGTAATGAACTGAACAATAGGATGTCTCTCTGCAAGAATGCCAAGTGTATTAACACGGAAGGGTCATACAAGTGTTTGTGCCTCCCTGGCTACAGCCCTTCAGACAAGCCCAATTATTGCACACCCCTAAATGCAGACACAGACAGTGAATTGGAGTAAGAGAAGCTGCAACTGCCTTGTAACTTTAAGCCTATATACTCTGCACTGTAAAAAGAAAAGAAGAGAGAGGAAGTGTATTTAACTTGAGCTGAGGATGTTCCTAATCCAGAGGTTGGTTGTATATGGAAAACAAGCAATTAAACATATCTTCTTAAAGTGAATGGTGATGGTTTAATATATATCATCTTCACTTACAGCAACAGACCAAATGGACACATTTGCCTATATGGAAGAAGTTATTAAGTATATAGTGTGTTCATAAATGAAATCAATGGGAATTAGCAAAATGTGCTGTTATTTTGAGCAGAAGGGTGGTTTGTTTTTTCTTTTCCCTACTATTGCTTGGTTTATTTGGCATTTAATTAGTTGTGGAAATATTTTGTAGTACCTTTTTATTTAGCAGTTCTTTGCCTCTTGTTTCTTTGGAAGCTTTTTCACTTTGATCCAGATATTTAGATATATTCTAAACATGGCGGTATACAAAACAATGCTTGTCTTTGTCTGGAACATTGGCCAGTGACTTTAAAAATTGCTAAATGTCTGCCCTGTGGAGCAGGCACTGTTCTTTAAAATAATGTACAGTTCATGAAGAGAAATCCTTTGTATTCATTTTGTATTCTACATGGCCTGTTACTGCACTTAACATGCCTTAGACCCAGCCTTGCCAAGTTTCAAAGCTGCTAGAGGACGACCATTGAATATCTTTTGTTCACAGTAATGAAAGATCTGCGCTCCTGTTCGTATTGTAATGTGTACATTGAACACAGGTCTTGTAATGGTTACCCTAACATATTAAAGCTGTATATTAAAACTCAATAAAATCTAAAGGTTTTTTTTAGAAAAAAAACTTTGTGGAAGATGTGAAGTTTCTTTATTCTAGTCCATTTTCCCTTTTTTAATTGCTAAAGTAATTAAATTATTTGTGAGAACTCTTCCTTCTCTCTTTTCCCATTATTTGCCTGCTGTTTTTGTAGACAGAAAGGTAAAAATATTTTTAACAACTAAATTTGGTTAACTTACAAAAAAGCAAACCCATTGTTTTCTAGAATGCCGTAGACTTCATCAACAGATGCCAATCCAATTCTGCTAAGTATTAAATCAGATGAAATCTATACCATGAGTAGGGCGTCAGGAGATGTAGGCAAATGTCAGTGGGAAACCAGATGCTAAAGGCTAGGATAGTATACACCATTCCTGACTTACTGGCTCCATGAACAAAAATGGGTGTCATCCTATCAAGACTGGGCCACGAGTCTTAGATCCGTGGAGTAGTTCAGCAGATATACAGCATCCTACCCCAGTGTTATACAGACACAACAGTTTTTAAAAAGCAGCAAGGTCGGGGATGGAAATAATACAGGAGCACATGTTCAGGAGAGAGATTTTTAAATATATATTAAATATTCTGTCTGTCTAGGGGCATCTATGAATTTATCGTGGACAATGTGAAAAGGATAAAAAAATACATTTCTTACAACCTCACTATAGCAGGCTACAGCCCTATTTACCTGTGAGATGTTCAATTGAACACAATGGAACTTACTTTTGAGTTGACAGAAACAAAACTGCCATGCAAATGGGACTTCTTTCCCAATGAATATGCTTAGGATTGCAGTCCTAAGTTCTTAAAAAATTAAAGAAAGAGTTTTTAACTCCATTTAGGATAGCAGTAATTTTAACATTGCTAAATGTGTGCCCTGAAGCATGCAGATAGTGGACGGTGTGGTTTTTATAGCGTTTTCATTTTTTAAATGGAGAGTAATTATTTGCACACATTGTAATTTTAAAAGCAGGAGAAGCCCAGGATACTTCAGCTGGAATATGGAAAGTCTTCCTTTGCTTATCTGGGGTTGAATCCAAATTTAGTTGTACTTCAAGTAAACTCATCTGAATCAATTGAACATATATTACTCATGACTAACTTAAGTTTCCTAGATTTCAGCAAGTCTACTCTAAATGTGATTAAAGCTGGATTCAACCCATTGGTTGCATTTAAGCACATAATGATTTTTCCAGAAGAATTCGTAACTGATCCTGTTACACATATTTCATTCCCAGCATTTCCCATTTTCCAAAGAAAACCTAAATGGAAGCTTATTGTTTTTATTTGTAACTATTAAGGCTAAATCTAGTTATATGCTCCAAAACAGCAACTTTTTCCTGACTTACTCAGCATTAGTTGTATTGGATGAGAAGTTTCATTATTTCAGTTCCCATGCTAGATGGGAATGATGTGGGTGGTAGCCCAACACACCTGGAGAACATCAGCTAGAGGAAGGTTGTCATAAGAAGACAGTCACTACAAGGTAACATTTATTTTATTTATTTACTTATTCATTCATTCATTCATTCATTCATTCATTTTATATCCCGCCTATCTGGTCGGGTCAGGACCACTCTAGGACCAACATGCTTGTAGCTTAAAACTTTCAAGAATCTTATTTTTCTTTCTGAATTAAATCTTAAATGCTGCAGTCTTTTGAGTCCATTCACACAGAGACTTAGGTTATAACATTGGTAACTGAAAATGAGAAAATGGTGGTAAGAGGAAAGTATTTCCAGAATTATCCTGTGTGAGAAAGCATTTGTCTTGGCAATGTACTGCATGAAATTTAACAAAGGCTGTGGAAAACCATTGTCTTGGCAATATAGTTTGCTTAACCAAATACATGTTAAACAGTATGAAGCACATTAGCCCTCCTGCCCATGTCCCAGTCTCATAACAATATGCATATGATAAATTCCTCTCTCCCCATAAGAAGAGCAAAGTATCAGCGCAACAATTTTATGTACGCACTTCAAATGTGTGCATGTCTACTTTTATTAAAAACAAGAAGCCCCTTCAGGATAGACGCATTATTTGGAAGCAAACAGAAGGAAAAGTTGAAAAGAATGTCAGTCACCACAGCAGGATAATGTTGGAAATGCTTCAAAGGAACAAACTAGACTTGATGGAGGAGACGGCAGACTTGCTTTCTTGGCCAGTACCCTGTTGCTTCTTACTGCATGCGTAAACAATCTGTTTCATGTGCGCTTGTCTGTTTTGTGTGGCTTTTGCCAAGGGGAGAATTCATGAACCCTTGGCACAAGCAGAAAGCCCTCTTGCTGTCAATGGGGCAATCTCCAGTTTACATAACTGCAACCTGGAGGTCACACAGATCCATCCATCCGCAAAGTCATTGAGCTATGTAATTGGAAAGAAACACAGGGGTTAGAGTCCTCTTTGTGAAAAACAAAGCAGCAACAGGGAAGGATAGGAACTGCCGCATGAGCATAAGGGGCATATAACCATTTTCCTAATCCAAATTGCTCTCAAGTCCTTACTGGCTCAATGAGGCAAAACATAAGGTATTTTAATGTTTGTCCTTTAGTGCTAGCGGGAAAGAATGTTAGTAGAGAATATTAAACTTACATTCTGTTTCCCTACAACCACAATCTAATTCTAGCGATACACCTACAATGTGGTTTAATCAACAAACAGAATTCTAGTCATAGATTCCCTGCATCATGTATTATTTGATCCAAAGGCTCTTCCATAGCTGGTGGACTGTATTCATATGTACAAGAATTTGGAAGTAAATAGAGCAATTGCTCTGAATTCTGAGATGTCAATCCTATAGTTATGATTGTCCACCAACTTTAAACTAGTCTAAAAATCAGTGGCCAGAATCCTGCTGGTGATTTATGCATGCATACATGAAACCACATATTTCACACAGCAAATTGCTACTAATTAGCTAAATGTCAGTCACATCCCTTTTTCTGTGTCTCTTGGGCAACCTGTCATATGACCAGGGATGCAGCTAGTACCTCATTAGCTAGTGCAATTCACTGCCATGAGTTAAACTATTTCACTTATGCACACATACATTACCAATAGGATTTCGGCCATTGACCTATGTTTGGAAGTTTTTATAACTCTCATTCTGTGAAGAGAACACAAGTGATTTCTAGCAAAAAAAAATATCTCAGCATCTCACCAAACCAGAACGTTCTGAAGAGAAGATCATAGGAATTGAAATTGGTTGTTCTTTTCAATGCCAGAATAAAAGTGATCTATCTTTGTAGTGTAGGCAGAGCCATAGGATACAGCCAAAAAAAAAAAAAAGACTTTTGGATAAATGTTGCTTCTTTCACAAATGTATACAAATCTATACTCGGACTGAATTGAAAGCTAATGAAAGATAGACTTGTTCTCAATTTACATGCTTAAAATAATAATAGATTTGAGAAAAAGCCTTCAGCTCTGTGTAAGTTTTAGACAGTTTCTCCTGTAACTGTCTTTTATGTTTCTAATTCCCTATGATATTTATTTAACTGTTGCATTTAAAGAAGAGGAGGAAACAACCATATCAGCATTAAAAGAAGATCATTTTTCATGACATCTTGTCTCTTCTCAATCCCCTAAAGGGCAGTACAAGGTTAGGAGATAAAACTAGACTAGATCAAATTTCTGACCTCCCTCTGCAAGCCCCTTGTATGGATTTTTGCAAAAACAATAGCTAGGATATTCAGAATTGCTTCTCCTTGCTGATGCCTCTGATTTTTTTCATGGTAAGCTAGCACAGAGAGAGATGTAAGGCTAGCCAGCTGGAAAACTGCTATAATGTGAAAAACACAGCACTGGAACAGAGCAGGGAACTGGGTTGATTCATTTTCCAGGCATGATAGTCTTAAGTACTGTGAAAAGGCCTCCAAAGGTGCAACCTGAACAAAAATGTCCATCTTAGCCTGCCAGGAGCCTGCCACAGTCTCATAATAATGGCACTTGCTGAAAGGCCATAGATTGTCCTTCTCGCGAAGGCTAGTCATGATGGCTTAATTGAGAACATTTATATTAATTAATTGATCAGCCTGTGTGCTGCCTTACATTTATAGACCAGGCCTCTTCTCTGAGGAGCTTTACATTTTAACGTAAAGGATAGCATGTTGAGGCAAGCTAAGCCTGAGCTGAACGTGCATTTATGAATGTTGCACATATTTCCATCTGTATTTAGTAGGGTGAGAAGGTGATTTTATAAAAAATGGGGGGGGCACTGGTGTTCCATTAAACCAGACACCACTTCACACATTTAGGGAAATTCGTATTTCATATGTCCTGCTTTTACAGGCTAGAATCCTGTTTGCTTGCCCAACTACAAAAGGACAATCACATTAGCATTTCTGCTGCTCCAGTAGCCTTTCTGCCACATGGCCAGGCATGTACTGGTGAGGAAATTGATTGCACAAACAGAAGCAAATCAGAGAGGGGGAAAATGCTGTGGGATTCCCATTACATTCATATGAACCATGAACAGGATTTTTGGTCACAATGTTTTCCTGATAAACTGCTAATACTTCAAGAAATCAGACATGCTAATTAAATCTGTATTATCTCCACATGACCAATTATAAAGCAAAAGCAAGCTTGAAAAAAAGGTAGATTGATATAAATAAGGTAAAGGTAAAGGTTCCCCTTGACAATTTTTGTCCAGTCGTGTCCGACTCTAGGGGGCGGCGCTCATCCCGCTCTTCAAGCCATAGAGCCAGCGTTTTGTCCGAAGACAATCTTCCGTGGTCACGTGGCCAGTGCGACTTAGACACGGAATGCTGTTACCTTCCCACCGAGGTGGTCCCTATTTATCTACTTGCATTTGCATGCTTTCAAACCGCTAGGTTGGCGGGAGCTGGGACAAGCGACGGGAGCTCACTCCGTCGCGTGGATTCGATCTTACGACTGCTTGGTCTTCTGACCCTGCAGCACAGGCTTCTGCGGTTTAGCCCGCAGCGCCACCACGTCCCCACAGATTGATATAAATACCTGTTAGAATAAACAATATTTTCTATAGGAGCTCCGCCTCTAAAGATA